GTAGTATTTGAGTAAAAAATTATTGAAGACCAATTTTCGACAATTTTTAATAATTAATATCTTGTTAACTATTGTGAAAATTGTAAAATGGTAGAGGATTTTTCTTCTCAGTTTAATCCATTTTGCCTCTATGCGAAAGATTTTTTATTACTTTTCAAACATTCTGTATAGTTATATTTTTTGATGATCAGCAATATAAATGTTCTGCCTATTGATTTCATTTAATTATAATTTTGAACAAGCATCAGCGCTTACTCGTGAGCGTTATATTTATGTAAATATTGTAAATATTACAGTAAATATTATAACATAACATGTTATCATATTGTTATCATGCATAGAAATAAAACAATTATGTAATTATGTATTATTTTTTGAATAATTTATTTATGAATTTATTTATGATGTAAACATGAAATTTTAACATTTATATTGACATTTCATTATTGTTGACACAAACATTGTTGACATTTTGTGTGGCGTTAAATTTTTTAAATTTAATTTAAAGAATTTTCATAGTTTTAAAATTAAAAATCAAAAGTATCTTCTTGAATACAGAATTAAACTTTAAAGAAGTTTGGAATATAAAGTTTTTAAATTTAAAATTTGTTAAATTAAAATTAAAATAAACTTCGATTTTTAAATTTAGAGTTTTATTTTATGAGTTTAATATTTAAACTTAGAAATTTTGGAATTTTGTAATTTTGAAAATTTAAATATATAATTTATAATTTTAATGTACAAAATTTTTTAAAAATATAAGTGTGTTTCTCGTCGATATATTACCGTATTCTGGCAAAAACTGACAGTAGTGGCGACACGTAACGTGAAACGCGCAGCATAGATGGTGCTATTTAAAGTCACAATCTTTGGCGGACTTGTGTACTTGAGTTGGTTATGTTACGTTGTTCATTCCCACTTTCCCACGCCATCTTCGCTTTGAATCAGATTGATATCAACGTTTTTGTAATTTGTGTATGCGAACATGTGAAGTTTTTCAATTTGTAACGGTATGAATAAAAAACTCATAATTTGGTAACGATAATTTGGTTCGATAAAATATTGCGAGAGTTTTATTGTGAAATTCATTAAAAGCGGCGTCTACAATGAAATTAGAAGGCGTAAACTTAAGCTTTAAACTCTAAACCGTAAGAAATTGATCAATTACAATCAAATGTGAGGAGAATATTCGACTATGTTTTACGACTTAGTGCTTAAGGTTAATTCTACAATGTGCTCTTTATTTCCTGTTTCTTGCTGTTTGTCTCTTGCCTTCTTGATCATAGTTCTGATGAACCACTCGCTCGTGGCGGACGAGTCTCGACTCGGGTGCTATAGCTATTGTATATTTTTGAAAGTGGTGCCGATGCCGACTTTGACCGAGCATTAAAACACACATAATCATCCCGCGGTCTTGGACGACCCGTTCGGTCGTCCTGACGCGTGTCTTTGCGGCGTGACGACGCCGTAGACGCAGGCGCCCGGTGTTTCGAACGGGCTTAGCCATTTTCGCGGGTGTTGTATCATTTTTTTAATACACGGAAAACAATCATAAACGTGATCTGACCGTATCGACCTCCTATTTGTTTGGAGGCGGGAGCCATAATTAATTAAGAAGAAGAAGCCTTGATCAAAAAGGCAAGAGGCAAACAGCAAGAAACAGGAAACAAAGAGCACATTGTAGATTAGGCTAAAACTTTGCTTAGTGTATAAAACTAAGTTTTTTGCCTTTAAAATCTCATTGTAGACGCCGTTTAACAGTCCTCTAATGCAGAGCTAGTTATCCCATAACCTACAATCAGGCATATTCTCGCTGGTTTTTCATCAACGGATCTGCACAAAAATGAATATAGTGTGCGTGATATGTAGCGATATGTTGACACCATCCGACGATGTTTTCCATACACCATGTGGACATATATTCCACTATCCGTGCTTGCTGCAATGGCTTGATAGGTAATTTGGATACTGCCTCAAAGATTTTTGCATTCTCTTCTTCCTCTTAAACCTCTGGGCCTCTATTCTTAAAAAGAAACGTATATAAAATTCTAGAAAAATACTATAGTATATGTAAAGTATACTGTGATATTTCTCTAGACTTTCGTATACGTTTCTTTTTAAGAATAGGGGCCCTGATCTATATTACGTCTCTCTCATATGCTTGTGTTAAGCACACTGATTATTCAATTGCCCAAGCATATGGGACCTACAGCTTTTTAGCCAGTTCCGAACGGTAGATTTTTTGAGGTGCTTCTATAGGCAAGGATACTCTCGGGAAGTTGCCGACCTTTTCCGAGAGGAGACACGAGCATAAATATTTTGGTTCCTACCAAGATCGAACTCGAGACCTCTGGCATGATAGACCAGTCTGCTATCTGTCATGTCACGCTTGCATATTCTCTTGTAGTTTTTTTTTTGCCTATTCAAAAAATTATTTCATGAACTTTTGTATCATTCCTGAAAGTTTTTTTGTTATTGTTTACACTTGATAGCATTTAGTTTTATTTGTGAAATTGTTTCAGGTCAAAGACTTGTCCACAATGTCGAGTAATCACAACTAATCGTACGATACATAGGATATATTTTAATTTTTCAAATAATGATAGCATCGTAGAAGATCCTGCATCTCTACAGAACAAAATTGACAACTTAAATTTCCAGCTAAAAGTGAAAGACAAAAAGTTTAGTGATCTTACAGAGGACAATGACAAATTGAAGAATGAAACAGCTGGCTTAAGACAGAGAGTTATTGAAGTTGAAAATGAAGTAAATGGCAAGAATAGTGCAATTTATGCATGTAATGAGCAGATTAAATTTTATAAACAGCGATGTTCAAATGCAGAGAATGATAGGAAAGAGAAAGAAAAGTTGACGGAAAAACTCAAACTTTTAAAAAAGTATGTTTATTATAATATTTATTTTAGAGATGTACATGCAATTTTCAAGTTTCTATTTAATCTTGTAATTAAATGTTTGATTTTGTAGCGTACAAAATCTAATAGATGATTCTTCTAAATCTAATGTGGAGGATATAACGATGCAAACAAATGATATTTCCAAACTTAGGATATACATAGGAATATTAAAAAAGTATTCTATATTTACATGTTTTGTATATTTGATTGATTTACATACAATGTATCTATGAAGATGTAATACTATGGACTTTATATTAAATTTTTCAGGGAACTCGAGAGCATGCGTGAGAAGAGCAAAGTGTTGAGGAACAAATATAAGAATGAACAGCAAAAGTTCATGCAAGTCTCCAAAAGAAATAAATTTTTGGCACAGGAATATGCTAAACAAAAGTATGTAAATGTTCTTGATATATCAAATTATTGTTTTTTTTAAACCATTGTCCTTGGAGATTATATTATCATATATATTTTTAGTGAATTGAAACAACGTTCTACAGAATTAGAAGAACATTTAAAACGCTGTGAAACCGAAAATATATCTTTACAAACTCAGCTTTTTAACATACAGACAGATGCACAAAAATTCGTATGCTGTAATAAAATATTCACGGAGCAAGAAGAGAGCTACGAGCAAGAAAACTTGAAAGCGCATAAGGAATTTTGTACCGTAAAATCTAATAAAACAATGACTGAATATATGACAAAAAAAGAATACATTATAAAATTCGAAAAGAGTAATAGTTGCATTATAGATCCAGTATGTAAACTACTTTGTTGCGTTTAATTACACTCATTAATTAATTAAATATTACACTCATCATTAATTACTAAATTTATTTTGGATATATTTATGTCAGGATAATATTTATTTTGTAGAATAGTACCGAGAATATCCCACGGAATAAATCGCAGGATTTCTTTTCGATGAGAAACCATGGTATGAAGAGACAGAAATCTAATAACAATTTGAAAATACCTTCGACACTTGTGAAAAAATCAAGAATTAACTCACCAAATCAAGTAAACTGCTTTGCATTTATATTTAATATGTTATATCTGTATTTGTGTGTTACAATTTTTACAATTTTCTCATATTTATATATTTTAGAAGACTGCCAGTGGCAGAGGCATGAGTTTTGATGGCTTCGGAGGACATGCCAAGTATGATAAATTTCCTGATCCTATTTCTAGCTCGCATGTAAAGAAAACCAGAGAGGATTCAAAGATGAGCAAACCAAAACTTGATACGGGTAACAATCAGAAAATCGATGATTTACTGATGTTTTATACTGATATAATAATATAATGCCTAATATGATGCCTAAATTATATATGTAATAGAAATTATAATGAGACGTAAGATTCAAGACGTGAAAGGATTGGGAATGTAACTCCAGTATAGAATTGTGTATTTTTTTATTAATTAAAAAGAGATCCAGATTAGAGAGGGATCTAGTCTAGAATTGTGTATTTTTTTATTAATTAAAAAGAGATCCAGATTAGAGAGAGATGATTGTATTTTTAATATACACACATGATTGTATCTGTACTATAAGATTTGTAACATTTTTATATAAAATTTTATTTTGTAATAAATTCTTTGTATGATTATTAAAGTAATTAAATTATTGAAGTAATTATTTAATGCTGTATGTATAAGTTATTTCATAGACATAAATATATATTCAACCATTGAATTTATTTGTTCTTTAATTGATCTATCTTTGAAACTAAGCCGAAACGGATATATGGTCATATGAAATTTTCGTCTCGAATTTATGTGAGAAATCACAAAATCTTTAAACGGTACTTAGGACACCCTGTACATGTATACATATATGTATAGATATTTAATCGTTATATAAAATATTTGTAAACTACTTTTCAGAGCAAATAAAATTAAACATTTATCATATAACAAAATGAACAGTAATCGCTTACAAGTATTAATTTTATTAAATGTTAAAACAGTTTATATTGGAAATTTCAACAATTAAAAGATTTAAAAAGTAGAAATAATAAATAGAATTAATAAAATATGACGTTATCTAGTAGAGTGACAGAATTTAAAACTTTAACGTAATGATATAAATCAATTTAAAATGTGATATATTCGCGTACACTGATCATACTTCATCATATACAAGGAGACCTATAATTTAAACGGCAATTTTTGATAGAGCGGTTTCCCGGCCAAGTATATTATTCGGTGGTTTACCATTCGAGAGGAGTTACGAGTGTACGAAAATTTTCGGTTCTGCCGGGGATCGAATCCAGGATTACTATAGCAGTGCGCTGTTTACTACACCACGCTTGCGCTAATGCAAGAATTAATAAATTATAATTTAATTATAAAACTATAGTATAACATATAATACAATTTCTAAAATAAAAAATTCAATTATAAATCCCTAAAAAATAATCATAAAATATACAAACATACAAAGAAGTTTTTAATTACCTCTATAATTAAAAATTTCCTTATATAAAAAATATTAAAATAAAAAAGTTAAAAAATTAGTTTCAAAGAATTCATACAGACTTTTGCTACATTAATCAATTTTAAATTGGAACGTATGTGCGAAGTCTGGCATTTTAGAGAGTAGCTGTATAAATTCTTGTGACGCAATGTTGCCTGCGCCAGAGAAGTCCATTTCTTGTAACATCTGAAAAAATAAGGCCATTAAACACAGTCATGAATTATTATATGATATCTGTTGCAATTTTGCAAGAGATAGGTGAATTAAAAGAAATTAATAGAAATTCTAATTAAATTTTGAAAAAGAAAAGAAAGTTGTACCTTATATACTCGTAGATTAAATCTCTTATTGAGTTATTTGCACTACTTTAAAGAAAGGTATTAATAAAAATACAAAAGTTTTGTACATTTCAACAATAGAATGTAAAAGTAATTCCTTTTTTTCGTTAAAAAAAAACATTGGAGAAAGGGAAAAAGAGTTCACAGAGTTTTAGAAGCGATTTCCGGGCTTTGAAGATAGCGCGAGTGCAATTTTACAGAATTAATTTCTCTTCGCGCGCACAGAAGGCAGTTCCTTTCAATTCACCTACTTTCTACCGCGGAATCGGTAACGGCCATCGGAAATTTGTTGCAATAGAAAACGGCCTCTCGGCTTTTGGCAAAAGGATTAATCGCTTCTCGATTCCATCCTTTGTAGTTGCGTTGAGGACGCACAACAGGAATGCACACTAACCATCCGCGCTACGTCCTCCGCTTGTTGTCGATCGATTCGGTTCTGCCCGCGCTCATCCGTGCCCGCCAATCTCCGCATCGTTTCGATCAGATCGTCGAGAGAGACTTGATTGTCGCCGTCGAAATCTGGAAATGAAGATGATCAGCACTGGTCGCTGTTTGCGTTCACGCATTCGAAACGAACGAATTGCGAGTACGCGCGTGTGTTTGTATAACATTGATGATTAAAATTGGCAAGAGATAGAGCCAGAGATCGGTACAAAGCGAAAAGAATTATTTTGCGCGATCTGTACCATGGAAAACAGAATATTTATCGATATTGCTTTAAAATTTGAGCTTTTAAAGATAAATACAAAATAATTTTTGACAATCTGTCAATTAAACTGAATAATAATTTGATCTATTTGATTAGAATCGTATTATTTATTAATTTATTTACTCATTTATTATTATTTATTTATGTTTAATGAAATTTAAAATATATTGCTTCGAATTTTTACAATAAAAATAAAAAGCTTTTTTTAAACAGAGTTTTTTTTTACTATAAATATGCAATTAATGTTATATTATATGGTAGGATTTATTTCCCGTCAAATCGTGCATCACGTTATGTAATGTCAAAATAAGCGACATTTATTATAAACCAAGGTGATAAATTTGAAATTTAAATGACGGAAAGTAGAGCACATCTCTCGGATATGATTGAAGATCGTGCAAAATGACACTTTCCATACTGCATAAGCATAACATGATCCAATTTATCTGAATGGAGTCGCAGTTGCATCGGCAGATTGCTGTGAGAGCGCGTTTCCATTTCTACGGTAATTGACGTGGCTCCGTGTTAAACGATTCCGTTTAACGAAATTGACTGCAAGCCACCGTTTACCACTATACGAATGCTCGACGATGGTCTGCAAATTTGTATACCTTACAAATTATCATAATTATAATATACTGTGTGTTGGAACACCTAGACAAATTATTATATTACGTCAAACTAATCGGTTACAATAAAACTGGTTGGGAAAAATAAATTGGATTTAAGGAATCTTTAAACTGCCACGCTTTGTCCAAGGCGTTCCGCATACGCATTTGGTGAAATATGTATAATTTCTGTGAAAGTTGCCATCGAGACATTTTTCCCTCTACCAGCAAACAATGAAGTTTTGTAATTGTATTTTTAATGACTGAGGAATTGTTCGCGTATAATACGAATTTGTATGTTTAATGAGTGTGTAGGATTGACGGATGTCAAATATTTGCCGTGACGAAAGTTAGAATTTCGCGCACACAAAAACCTGTAAATATAGATTCAATTGTATCTGTGAGCTTACCGAAAATTTCAAAAGCCCATGCAGCCCGAACACTCCTAGGACAATTCATGGAGAATGCCCAGCAGAGGTCGAGAGTATCTTCGAAGCTTAAATGTCCATCCTGCTTCGACGAGAACACGCGGTATATCACGTCACAGAAAGGATTGCACTGAAAATATATTATACGCTCTGTATTTTATAATCTTTTGTTTTTCTTGAAGACTAAATAAATTGCATAAAAAAATAAAAATATTTGAGGTTCCTGTTCTCTCACTCGTCATTACTATCTCTGAAGTATTGTGAGGTAGCGAGAAAGAATAAAAATTCTTACACATTATATTTTAATAGAAATATTTTTCAATAAAATATAGATTTATAAAATATATTGAAAACTATCTTTTTGTTTTGGAGAAAAATTAAATCATATTTATTTCTATTATACATATATATACCATATATTATTAATTTAACAGTTTGTCATATTTGTAAACATAGCTTATTTCGTTTTTGGTTATGCATAATTCATTTCTAAATATAATTATTTATTAATTAGAAAAATGAAAAAAATCGGCATTAAAATGAAAAAAAGAATTTTGATATAGGTATATATTTTACAAGTCGGTTTTATCGAATGTAAGTGTTGTTTTATTGAAATATATTCTATATATATTTTCTTGCTTCTAATATCACAATCTAAGATAGTAATGAACAGGAGCCTTCTTTTTTTTCGAATCATTCAAGAATTTTCAATTTATATTCATTCTGTTTCACTTTTTTACTTGTTAAATACCATCAAGGAATTATTGTGTATTATATCATAATATATGTATAGGTTTTTGAAACAGCAATTTTAATTAAATTTTAATAATTAATGTGGATATATAAGAACAACCTCTTGAGATACTCTGTGTAATATTTGAAAAACACAATATGTTTCGTTCCTCGTATCGCAGTTAATCATCACCTCGTGTAAATAACGAAATTTCTAGCTCGCAGGAAAAAAAAATGGTAGCAGCTTACCATCGCTTAAGAAGGATTTATTGCTGCGCAATATACGCGATGTTTAGAGCTAACGAAAACGTTGTGTACCGTGATAATCCAATGCTCTTTGCTACCGGAACTTTTCAACACCATTCTTTCAAAATACGATTATAATTCAATTGTAAAATAATTCTACAAAAAATAAAAAATCTATTTCGCACATCGAAATGTCAAATAGTAATGGTAAAATTCGGAGCTTACGTGAATCTGTGGAAGAATTTTGTTGATTTGCTCCACAGAAAATCGATAATGAAGATTTTGTTTGAGGATGCCTGGTTCCAAATTATCGAGACGTTTATAAATCCTGACAATGATAAGTTAGACAATTAAATATAAGTACATTAAAATACATTAATTGAGAGTTATATTTATCTGGACATAAATAGTTCACAGAAGATAGAGACCATAAAAACGATTGATGTACATATTCATAAAAAAAAGTATCCTGTAAAAGGATATAAATAAAATTCGACTTTTGAATCACTTTTAGATTATTTTTCAAATTGCTCGTTAACGTGTGTCATTGACATAATATATACACAAAAAATGCATAGTCTTACTTATTATTATTGTATATAGAATTATTTAAAAAGCTACAGAATCTGAAAATAATTTTGATGGACAATCAAAATAATTAATTACATAAGACGTTCAATCTGTTTGTTAGAATATTTAAACTTTTTGCGGAATCATGCTTAAGTTTGCTACATAATTACTTTGATGATCTAATAAAATTATTCATATTGTAAATAAATCAAATATACGCATTGACAAATTTCACTTTTGTTTAAATACGTCAGCTCGACGTATTCGTTGAGGGCTTCTTCCGAAATAACATTTTCTTTAGAACCCGTATTACCCATGGACACAATTTTGATTTAATACGTTGAAATAGGACCATTCGACCAACCTAACTGATATCGCATTAATGATAACGCACGTTATCATTTCAATATGCGATTATGAAAAAGAGCTGATATCAGCACTATCAATTTTATGCGGGAGCACTTAACTGTTTAACGACGATAGCATTTACAGTTATATTGGAGCATCAATTTAACGATCGTGGTTACAATCCGGACATTTATATTAATAAAATTTTACAGTAGTTGGATAAACGCCATATTAATATCTTGGAATTGAAAAGTAAATTCAATGAAATAATTTATGTCGTCTTATATGTCTCACCTTGTTTATATCTTCCTCGGTTTTAATTTGTTCAGACGTTCTCTTTGATAACATCTTGTTAAAAACCTCGGAAGATTTGTCGAGGAATATTTCAATCTGTATAAAAAAGTACGCTTACTTATTTGTGAGCTTCGCGATTTACGTGTAGTGCGCGGAGTGTATTAATCATTTCTGCTTGTCGACCGCTGAAATAATAATCTACGGACGATCAATTTTGCGACAGCGTTTTAATTAGCTGTTTAACTAGCTGCCTGGGTGCTTTCCTCGGGTTCATTATCACATCTTGAGACAAATGCATATTTACGACGCGCGTAAATAAGCGTGCGGGGCGGAGATTTATATACGCTCAAGGTATGTCCGCATTCTCTCTCTCTCTCTCTCTCCTAGCTTAGAAATTAAGCGGTGCCGTGCGGTGCGCACAAACGTTTAAACCGATTACACGTGGAATGCGCGGAATTCCGCGTGCGAGCTTTAATTAGATCGTCAGCGTCGGCGGCGAGGCCGATCGTTGATTGGAAAACGCACAGAAATCGCGCGATTTGCGCGCTCGTCGAGCGCGAGCGGAGGCATCCGTTGCTGAGCGCGTTTCTCAATGAGAAACCGATTTCTCCGCGATCCATGAAATTGCGTTCGCTATCAGAGCTTGATTAATACCGCGGGTGAGTACCGAAAACACGCGGGTTAACCGAGTCGCGTAACCGTAGACATTCAACTCGTGATTTCGAGTGGTCCGTAGTTACGCTCGCAACGTCTTAATTGGTAAAGAGATATGCCAGGAACCTTCACGTTCTTAACTTATGCAATATCGGATATTGCTTTCCGTTAAAAGAAAAGGACTAAAAAACGAATGAATGTACTTTAAAAAATATGAGCATGGATTTAACACCATGTCGATATTTTTATAGTGTAGATTTAACACCATGAGTGTTAAATATAATTTTCATTGTGTTGGTGTTAATATAACATCAACATGATGTGAATTTAACACTATATTAAATTATTTAAATCATGAAACACCAAAATGGAGGTGAATTTAACATTATGGGTGTAGATTTAACATCCTGATTTAAATAATTTAATATAGTGTTAAATTCACATCATCTTGATGTTATATTAACACCAACAGAATGAAAATTATATTTAACATTCATGGTGTTAAATCTACACGTTTTTTAGAGTTTTATCGTGTAGAGAATTTCTTTAATTCTTTCTTTGTCACATAATAGGTGTTTTCTAGCAACAGACACAGATGACACAGTTACTGTCTTGTTATTTGCCAAACAAATGATAAAATGATACTGATTATACCATGAGTGCTTTCTATTTGGTGACATAACTCGATACAAGTATTCTATCTTTGTTACTCATGGAATGCAAAGAAAGGTATATAGAACATTTGTGTCGACTTGTATCATTAAATGGAAAATACTCTGCGTCTCTTGCTAGAAAGCACTAAATATTCCCTGTGGAAAGTTTCTCGAGGTGTTTTTCGGAGATTAGCCGCGTGTCGTCGATCACGATGATGTAAAACAAGCATTACAGTGTATGTACATAGTTAGAGACCAAACATCAAATTGTCGATTATCCGTGGACCTGCGACAATGACATTCGCGGCACGATTCCCGGCGTACAGCGACACGCTGGTCGCTGATTGCGATATTGCGCCAAGTGCGGGCTGGATGTCGAGAGAGGGAAGCGATTGCCCGGTCTCGCTGTAAAACAATTAGCCCGCTCGTCCGATACTCGAATAGCCTCGAATAAGCGCGGTCTGCACGAATGAGCCGACGATGTCTGCCTCCACGGCAAGCATAATGAGATATTTGGCGTGTTCGGCCTCTGCTCAAAGTCGCGCGGACAATCGGCGGCATTCGCGTCGTCGAAGAAATTAGGATCTGAGCACAAGAATTGTCATAACGGTCGTAACACTTACTTAGAGTGTTACGACAATTCTTATACTCAGACCCTAATTTCGTCGATGACGTACCGGCGCGAATTACTTACGTCTACAACTTAAATCTAAGTAAGTATTACGATAATTCTTGTGCTCACACCCTTACGCGCGTGTACTTTTTCCCAAAAATCCTACAGAGGCATTGCATTAATTCTGCATCCAGATAAACTAAAGTATAATTATTGTCCTTTGATATTTTAAATTCTGTTAGCTTTGTGCAATGTCATCTAAGAAATATGATCATCTAAAAAATTTAATCCTGTCTGAAACAAATGTAAGTACACATTCAATATATGATTTATTAAAATATTAAAAGATTTAAAACAAATGTATTAATGGAAATATCAGTAATAAAAGAAAGTTATAAATACAGCTTCTTATGTAGCAAGCTAACATTATTTGACATCATTTTGACAACAAAATGTCAAAGACGTCATTTTGAGATTGAAATGATGACAAATCTTGCCATCGTTTTATCTAGATTTTATCAAAGCGTTCATATATAATAGACAAGTAATTAAATTAAAGTATAAATTAAAATTTATGTATAAAAATGTCGAAAGTCATACAAAAGAAATGCATTGAATAAAATTGTTCGTTAAATAAGAACAATTAAATAGTAGTATTGTACAGTAAATCAGATATAAAATTTCAAAAATTTTAAAACTTTATAATTTATAAACGCAAGTGTACTTGAATATTACATGTAATTAATTTATTTTTTGTGTCATAAAACGCGATATGAGATATTTTTATAGCTGTTCTGTACAAATTTCGGTTATAATTTTTTGCGCTATGTATTTAAAATAATTATTCTGTGAAACTAAAATAATTAATCAATTTAAATAATTCATATGTTTTTTAATCTGTCAATAAATTGTACGTCAATATTTTGTTGTCAAAATGACGTTAAATAAATCAGTTTGCAACCTAAAAAATTATATTGTTTTTACTCAATTGTCATTAATTTTTTATTTTCCTTTCAATTACAGTTATTTTAAATACTCTTTATTATTTAAATAAATTTTTGAATGTGTTGTGTACTTATACGCTTGTTCAGACTGAATTAATTTTTCTGGATGACGGTGTTTTAGATGATCTCTCAGAATGTTTATTTTATCTTTAATATTAATAGTAAAATAGTTCACGTTACAATAATTACATCGTATTCTTCTACATTGCTTTCCTAGCGTATTGTAGGTATAATGGTTCTCTATACATTCTGAAAAAAATATTTGTCTATAATATGCCTCAGTTTTATGTTTCGATAAGTGATTACGTAGCAATTGCAATACTGGCCCGGGTACATTATTACATGTATTAATAAGTTCTCCACAATTCGAGAGCACGAGCGTGGCATGATAACGCACTGGTCTATCATGCCAAAGATCCCGGGTTCGATCCCAGTAGAAACCAAAATATTTACGCTCGTATCTCCTCTTGAAAAAAAGCCGACAACCTTCCGAGAGTATCCTTATCCACAGAAACCTCTCGAAAAATCTGCCGTTCGGAACTGGCATTAAAACTATAAGTCCCAGATGTTTGTGACAATTGAATAATCAGTGTGCACACCATATTAACCCAATTAACATATGAAAGAGCTAAACATAGACGAGAGGCCTAACGTAAGAAGAAGAAGAAGAAGTTCACAAATCTTACACTTTATTGTATTACGATCTATTAACTATTTCTTTAGTAATCCCACATTTTATTTTAATTTGAGTTTTTCTTTAAAGAAAAACATAGTAAAATATGAGATCCGAAGAAATAGATCGTAATACAGTAAAGCAAAATTTGTGAACTTTTTCTTTTTCTTCTTAAGTACACACATTCAAAAATTTATTTAAATAATAAAGAGTATTTAAAATAAGTGTATTGAAAGGAAAATAAATAATTAATGATAATTGAGTAAAAAAAATATAATTTCTTAGGTAGCAAGCTGACAATCAAATCATTTTGACAACAAAATATCGTTAAAGATGTTATTTTAAAATTAAAATGATGACATAAATAATATATTACATAGATTTCATTAAAGCATATAATAGTCATTTCCAATTACGATCGAAAATATATTTTTTAAGGCTCCTGAGTGATCTCTGCGGCCATATTGAATCGTGATATCATAAGCGAGACAAAATACATTAATTTTTGTTACATTTGTGTATAAAGATATGCCATTTACAACTACTTACTGACGGTTAAAAGGGATAAGGACATCTTTACAAATGTTTTAAAGCGATCTTGTCATTTCGTTTTATCTAAATTGTCTTTATTTACAAATGACATGTAACAAAAATTAACGTGTCATTTTTCGCTTATGATATAACGATTCAGTATGACTGCGATTCGCGTTACCCTCTAATGTATATTCGCTCTGTCATCGAAAACTTGCGGTTTTCATTTGGTACCGCGCCGCTTGGCAAGCAAACTTTTCCGCAGCTAAATGCACGTAGAAACGCGCGCCAAGAAGTTGTCTGATGGATATTCGAGGCACGTGACTCCTTGACACGTTTGTATGTATCTTTTCCTTTTCTTGTGCAAAATTATAATTTCTTTCTTAAGATCCATCTTTCTTCGTTACAGGCTTCGTTTCTTGTTTGTTGTAGATTTTCATTATATGGTCTTAATAAATCGTGTATTATTGTAATTTCTTTATTGTGAAATGTGGAGAAAATCGAAATATAATTACATAATCCAACGATTTCGATTACGACAACGAAATATTATTCGAGTTATATGTTTTACGAATGGGATTTTGATTCTCAAACT